AACACTAGAGAGCAAAAAGCACCAGCAAATAGCCCGAGAACATCTGATTCTCGGAGAGTGTTGAGGTGCGTTCGTCACGTTCGCCTATCATTGCTCCGTCTGTTTATTTTCCCGTTGTGAGCTTGCTAAACCCAGCAACACAGGTTATTGCGAAGTGTTTTCTTGAAATTATATAGTAGAGGAAAATTAGATCCATCGTTACATCCTGAACTAGATCGCACTGAGAACTGAATGCATAGTAGCATGAAAATAACATCTGATTTGTTTGATTCCTTATTGCTAAGCGCAGAAAGTTAATTTTTGTAAGGTTTACCAAGGTGTTAAAAGCATTACGTACAGGTACACCAGCCTTGTCAGCTTAGGAAATAATCCTTCTAACAGGGAAATGTCGACATTTGAAGACAAATTCCTGGGAAAACATAAGATAACTCAGCCGAAAAAAGAAAATGTAAATGCAATATATGGCGATCTTGGTGTGTATAGGAGAAGACAAGAAAGAACAGAAAGTGGAAAGTTATTAATCTACACGATACCCCTTATAGACGACCGTTCAAAACAGTGTTAAATGGAGAGTTCAAGAGCAATTGTATACATTTATAGTTAAAATCCGAAAGCTATGAATATTCGGCTAGCCAAGTGGATTATAAAAATCTACTGTGGCATTGTTTAGAAAACTTCAAATTGCTAATTTTGGTTGAAGGATTTGGTGAAACTTTTTGTTAAATGCGATATGACACTAATAGTGTGACGCATTAAAGCTAAGGCCGTTACTGACAAGCAGTCGACGTCGCTGTGAAAAGTATTGTCTGGAATCAAGACAGATATTCGTGTATTGATTGAACCTTGTGATAATTTTTGGGAAGGGAGGAGAGAGAGGTGAATATCAAAACAACCAGCCAGGACACATCAACGCAGCTTCCTCTGCTGCCTGTACTTGAATCCTTCTCAAACTTCAGTCTGATGTACTACGCTCATAGAGGACAAATATCAGTTTGAAAGGCAGCCTATGACTGAGTTGTTTTAAACTTGTTATCATCAGATATTTATTTACCTGTGATTATCACAGAGAACATTCGCAAGTCAGTCATAAAAGTTATTGTCACATTCATAATTTCCATAATATTTTCTTTTCACCAGGACTGTTAACCAACGTGGCTGCACACCCAGGACTTAGAGAGTCAGCATCTGGTTCAATCGTCTCTCCTCCCAGTTTAGTGAATAGATTTTTCTTGCGTTTCATTAACACACGAAAAAATGATGATTAATATAAACCGTTTTTCTGCGGCGTAAAAGATACCAATCTTAATTTGTTGTGGTTGTTGTTGCAGTTGTTTTTGCTTCTCCTTGATGCCCTATGGACTTAAAACTCAGCCCGCAGACCTTTATCGAATTATCTTTTATTTGTCCGCAAACGTCGAACCCGAGTTATTTAACCTAACATGGCAAAAAAAAATCCTAGTGACACGGCAGAAAAAGCCGTACGCTCAAAGATATCATCATGTCACACATACGAAATAGAGTATTGCTTCGGTGGGAGAACGGCTATCTCTTCATGGCCAAATTATTCTTACCGAAATATGGCTGAATTGGCTGAAGCGCCAATATCAATGCCACGCCGAATGAATACCGTATCATAGCATTTTGGAAATTGTCTGAAAGCTTCTTTCCGGGTCTCAGGAAAAATATTCGTCTTGACTACTAAAAAGAAAGAATAGCAAGATGGCCCATTAATGTTCTTGTTTTAAGCATTCTTTACCATGTTTGCTTTGATTTCCTGTGGTGAATCCGATTAATTACACCGTTGCTTGCAACAAAAGAGCCGTATTCATGAGAAAGCATCAACATGTTTCTTCGGGTAAAATGGGAAGCCGCTCTGCTTGAACATGGAGTAAGAAATCACAGGACAAGAAAGTATCATGGGATGCAGTTCAAGGACGGCGCTTTTTTATTTTGGTGGCTGTTGTGTTACACGCTTCATTTCCGCAAAGACAGAAGAATACTAATGCGAAAAATGTCATCGGCATGATGAATTTCTACATTTGAGCTGTAGAGGTTAGCATGCCAAACGAGCTAGATCTTCTCCGATATCATTTTATTTTACCAAACATAAATTTGGTTGGGAAGCAAATGTTATCCATGTCGGCGAAGTAGTTGGATCCTCTCCGATATCATTTTGTTTCACCAAACATTAATTTGGTTGGGAAACAAATGTTATCCATGTCAGCGAAGCAAGCTAACTGCTATTAGTAGCTATATGAAAATAGTAGAAAAATGAGCTGACCTTGTGTAGCTAAGACACCAAAATTGTCCTTCCACATCAAAACGCAAATAAGTAGAAGTGATGTGGTGGAAAGAAGTGGTATGTTCTTCATCTTATATCTCTGTGGGCAGAATTAGTGATGAAAGAAAAGGGTATTTCAAATTCACAAACTCTAGAAAAAATCATGCACAACAGGCGAAAGATGGACAGCGTGAATCGAAACTAAAAATTCAACAAGTCTCCTAGCTGGTTGTTTTACCTTCAAGTAAGAATAACTCGAATGTTACTTTGAAATACGATGTTCATTTCTATCATGAGTTTTGAGAAATATGCAAAAAGGGAAAAAAACAAAAACAAAACAAAACAAAAACTACATAATTAATGATCAGTGTGGTTCCTACGCCCCTCTTTCTGTCTTCAAATTTTTGTTGTTGTACTTTCTGGCAATATTCTTTAAACCGTCTTCTTCTCCTCAGCAATACTTTGTTCGACGTTCATTCTATTCAACGTAGTGAAATGGATCGAAAGCTTTACCCTTGAAATTGTCATCAGTATTTAATTCACTCTTTCTTTTCGACATTATCCTGCTCAATGCACAAATCGTAACTTCAGTTTGTTCCAGCCTACTAACTTTCTTAACAAACTGAAATTTTCTTTCGCCAAAGATCGACTCAAGTAAAAGGCGGCAAATAAAGAAGGAAGCCAGTGTAAAATTCCTCGCCATGTGAAATTTGACAAAAAAAATCTTTGTTGGAAAGGAACAATTGCTATACAAGATGCAATATTCTGTATCCTCCAATATACACCTCTTGGCTTTCAATATGTGTCTTTCATCGCCTTTTGACATGAGAAACCATTTTCCATTCAGGATAACAATCTGAATTCCTTTTTATCGGAAGTCTTACCTTATTTTCCCCCTCTGAACTCTATTGCTTTGTGCGACCTTCGCACATTTTCCATTTATAACAGTCCTGTACAAGCGGTTTCATTTCTAAAAGTATTGAATTTTAATTGTTTATTGAATGGGGGCAATTACGAGGAAATAAAGGATACATAGTCTAGAAATGGCCGATTTCTCGGGCTGTTATACGTACAGTGATACGACAGGACCATGTTGAGGACTATTGTTATTGTTGGATTTGGAAATATCATTCTCGAACAAAGAATTAAGTTTATCCTGTGCATTTTGTCTGCTATAATGCATCAGCGGCAAATGACTAAAATGGGTTCGCCAACACTCTCTTCAATAGATTGATTATTTGAACTCCCAACCGAGTTTTACTGTGGAAGAAAAACTACATTCATAATACGTACTGCAAGCAGTTAAAGCAAACACTCAAAATTTTAGCTCTTTGAAAAAATTCATTAAGTTGGAGAATGACTGAGAAAATTTGAAGCTAACTGCACCAATAAAGTAACGTTTCTTGTGGTTGACAACTCAAGGTGTTTAATTTCATGAGACCTATTTTGAAGTAATGTAGCGTACGGTGAAAGTAAACAAAGGGCTCTATCGTTTTATTCTATGCTCTCTCTTAAAAAGATGGCGCTTAAATGGTCGGAATATGTTGTGATCATCACTCTGAGAGCTGAAGGTAATATCAGATTTTGCCAAGTGATCTCGATGATCAACTTGAATAGCAAAACCAGCGAAAAAACGCACCAGCATCTCTTAATGTCAAGGGAAAGGTCAGATTGCGCTGCTGTTATCCTTTGTTTAGCCTGACTTTAAGGTCAGCAAAGCAGTGATATGAAATAAACAAGGAATTCTGTCACATGTGTTTTGAAAGCTGCTTTTGTTGTGTCAAAAAAATCGTTCCTTCCACAAGATGAGACCGAATTGAATTTATTGTCATTTTTTATCTTTAGTTGATTATTTGTCTTGGCATATGTCGTTTTTGTTGTTGTTGTTGTTATTTTGTTTTTTTGCGTTGTACCTTTTGAATGTTGTGGCATCAACAGTGTTTTTTATTCAATTCCTTTTGATGTGGCTAAATTGTCTGTGGATATTATAGAGCTACTTGACGTTTGATTTTTGAATAACACTCTCTATAACAATAGGAGTGTTAAGTTTTCTTTTGTTATTTAAACAGTTATTTTTCGTTCAAATCAGTTTGCATGTTTGTTTTCATATACTTCTTTACTGTGTGTAACCATCGCTAAGCACAAAATAAAGATTTTTGTGTTATTTCAATGTCGTAAAATTTAAAATTGTCTACACCTTACAGGTTGCGTACATGTAGATAGCTGACTCGGTTAGTAAATGGTAAATGCGTACGCTTGCACAGACGTTGATGTCATTTTTTTTTTTGCCTTCATAACAACTACAGCAACTTCATTCTCAAATTGAAGTTGAAAGTCCTAGATAGCCCATGGTCACCCGAAGTCATTCTCAGGCCGCATCTTCCTGCCATATTATGCATAGCTCCATGAAAGTGTAAGGTGTACTTATTTACCCCACTACATTCTGGAGCCGTTGACAAGAAAATCCTGAGACAGGTGTTTCAAATTGGTGGCTATCGCCTCCCTTAAGGGAATCGAAAGTTAACCTTGGTAGTTATTTCTCTTTAACAAAAATACATCTTTTGGCTGGTATGTGTTTTTTTTATCATACAGTGAGGCAAAAACGAAGGAAACAGAATAAATAAACGCAACCATCTGAAAAGTTGTAAAACCAAGTATAAATGTCACAGCACTGTACAAAAGTAATGTTTCCATTCATCACTTTATTGCACTGTTCTTTGTCTAGAAAAATGGAACCCAATCATGGCTACAAATATATTAACTGGATCCAAACCGAATATCTTTGAGCAAGGGAAGAAAGGACATAGAGATTGTCATCATTATAAACTTCGCTTGGTGCATTATACACAACGTTAAGTGAAAAGATAGTTTTGGCTCATGATCACTTCATATAATGTTTTGCTGCCCATGAAACTGAAAGATCCCCTAAAGTAAAAGTTAAAAACATCTGTAAAATAAAAACGAAAATCTCACAAAACAGGTTTTTTTTAAAGTACAAGTACTTGACTTCACCGTTCGGACCTGCGAGGATAAAAGAGAACATAGGAAACTGCACTTCTAAGCTTTATTACTTCATTACATGGGTCATACTTAGGAATCACTCTTTCTTTTATCGAAGGAGCGTACAAAAAACACACTCATATCGATCGTTACCAGCCAACCACAGTTTCGCTTTAAAACCATCAATAGATCATGTTCTATAGTTATGCATGTCATAAAATAAGAACTTTCCTCGGCGAAGAAAAACTGAAAGAAAATTTATCATTTATTCGTAAACAAGAAGTCATATGTCACATCTTCCTAAATACTCGGCTGCACTGCCTCCTTAGAATATTATATATGCTATACTAGAATGTAAAGAATGCATTGATGGAAACTGTAGCTAAATACTACATGTTTTACGCCACAACACGAATGCAAGTTTAATCTAACCTCAGATAGACAAATATTTAGATGTAAAGATGTGTAGATGTGCAAATGTGATTCGACTGAAAATAAATAATTAATACAAATATCTAAGTACAAATATAACAACAACAAAAATAACGACAAAGCTACGAAATAGAAACGAACTTACAATTTGTGGCGTAACCAGGTCCGGTAGTAAAAATCTTAAACAAAAGTAACATGGCGCTGGCAAAAACCATAACGAAACGACTGAAATCAACTGGCAATGGAAATTATTTAACGAAAACAACGCTTATACTGGCGAGAAAGAAAAGACTACCAGTGTTACGTAATTCTTACACAACCTCATGCAAAAACGCGAACTTAATTGAATAGAGACAAAACATCACAGTAGTAGTTCGATTGAAAGAAAAAAAAATGTAAAACAATTTCGCAGTTACTTAAAGATAAACAGAAATGCAAATTCTATTTGCTACAGAAACGTTTCTCTTGTTGCAATGTCACAGTCCTAAGCTGCAATCTCACTTAAAGCTGCGGCAATTTTTCCTTGGATGGTTTTTCACAAATCAGCACATTGTAGTTTTCGTCTGTCAACCTTGCCCGTTCCAGTCTTTGGAAGATCATCGATGAATTCCATCTGTAAAATTGGATAAAATTTATAATGCAGTTTGTTATGCACATATCTTAAAAATGTATTGTAGAGAATACATCCCTTGATATTTTCGAAAAGACGAGCTTCATGACAGGTAAAATTACTCTTTATGTTTGGCACAGACATTAAGCACGTCAAATTTCTTTGAAACGTAGCCGTTACTGTAAAGGAAGAGGGATCTGATGAGTTATTTCCCCTCTTTACATAAAAATTTCTTGCAAGGGTTAAAGTTTCTTTGTTTCTATCTTTAAAGTATCAAATCCACGAGCAGTATATTAGATATGCTGTCATAGCTTCAACTCTTACGCTTATGTTTCATTTTGGGCATTCAAGATTTTCATTTCAAATTGGTATTATCTATTTCTCTGATTAAACTTATAGGATAGGATTATATATACAACCTTCTCTGGAGACATCCAGGATGCACTATTGTATGTCACATGATCTTGTAGCGTTTTGATCAAATGGTCTTGATTTTCATTTTTGAAGCCACTAGATAACACAATGAAAGCTTTCATGATCTAAAGCAAACGCAAGCAGAATGTCTTATCAATAATAAGTCACGATTCAGTGCCTTTATATGGTCTATATATAACTGCAGTCAGTTATATAGTCAAGAAGTTCTATTTCCAAGTTTTCCTACACAGTGCAAATATTTCTTGAAATATCTCCTAATCAAAATGGTTCTACCATGGTGTAAGACCGAGTGGAGCTCTTTTTTGGTTTGTCACTATCATTTTCTTAAGCTCCATTTTTTTAACCTCTCTGTTTCGTTTTCCCTACTTCACTCGTGAATTTAATAGGTTCTTGCACCGAAGGTGAGCCCAAAAGACCTATTTACCAGTTTTGGAACAAGAAGTCTTCTCAAGAACGAGAACGAGAGCGAGAGTTGCAAGTGCAGACTAAGTGAAGGCTAAGTGAATTCACAAGGGCACATTTCAGGGGAATGGTAAAAAGTTTCATATCAATTACCCGAGAAACCTCTTTGGTAACTGCAGCCTTAACCTCACCTTCCCCAGAATTAAGTTGACAGAGCACAAGAGGCGAAACCCTCACGAACTATTGGGTCTTTAGACATATGATGAAGTCTCTCTATATATCGCCTTCTCGTTTTCGTCTTTTTACGATTAACTTATGGTTGTGCGCTTCTTTCGAGATTTCTCGCTTACAGCAACTATCGAAATCCAGCCTTTTTAGCCTTAGCCAACGTTAAGTATTGAGTATTCAAATGACCTACCTGTCTATTGAGATAAGAAACGCTGACCACAACGCAGTTCAATACAGCTGGATGTTCTTTAAGACAGTTTTCTACGTCGCCAGGGATTATGTTACATCTGGAATGTGGGTTAAATCAATAGAGTGAGCAAGTCAGTTACGCTTCCATGCATACAGAGGGTGAAAACACCAAAGGGAAGTTTCCGGCTGGGAAACAGCTGTGACTATGAAGCACCCCGTGAACTATCGTCTTCAGCACAAATAAAAAGATTCAACTAAATTTTCCGTCATTTTCTTGGCTTCTTTTCAGCTTCATAACGTAATTGATACACATCTGGTTATGTCTACGAGTGCTTAATAATAATTGTTGAATGTTTATCAGGTCACGGCCGACCTCCGAAAGCTGCCACAAGCAGATCTGTGGAAAGTGATACCGAATCAGCCTTCGATGTCGAACAACGTGACAACTATACCTGATACACCTCGTACATTTTGAATGAAATGAAACGTTAACGTCGGCTTTCCCCGACCAGCCAGCGATACAACTGGCGACAGAACTAAGAAGGCGACATCTGCCTGTCATCGATCTCGCTAATGAGCGCGATACCTTTTTTGAGCAAATTGTTTTAGTAGTTTTTGCCGCGTTTGCGTGTATGCAAACAAATATCAAAGTTCGATTTTAAGTATTTAGATATCTTTAACTTTCCATTGTAACACCTAAGCAGTTCATACCGATTTTAATTATGTTAGTAAGTTTATTATAATTTTTTATATTGTCAATCTTGTTTTGGTTTTACCCGAACTTGACGTAAGACCAGGAGATTTAAGTTAGCAAGACATTTCGTAAAGCGTAAACACCGCGAAGGTATCTACTTGGTATGCGAATATTATTCGCTCTGCATAGCTTAGGGTGATTCGCTAGTAAAGTGTAAAAGCATGACGAAGGTTAGACTGACAGCTCCGTAAATGTCACCTTTATAAGCGGTGACCCACACTTTCCTAGAGAGATCAGAGCTAGTCCCCGTTGTAATAACTTGCGTAATAAAAGAGAGAATGAAAGAAATAGTCAACTGAACGACGAGTGTTAGGAAATTAGAACTAACAATTGTCAAATGTTACTGGACTGAATTGGAAAATGCTGGTGAAGCAAAATCACCTTCACTCGCATTATCCTGCTCTTAGTCAACTGGACGACGAGTGTTAGGAAATTAGAACTAACAATTGTCAAATGTTACTGGACTGAATTGGAAAATGCTGGTGAAGCAAAATCACCTTCACATGCACTGTCCTGCTCTTACCCGTCGATGATTAAAACGTCGTCAGTTCTTCCAACGATCCAGAAATAACTGTCTTCGTCCATTCGACCCAAATCACCTATCAACAAAAATATGACCAATTTGCTAAGTATACTATTATCTAAAAAAAAACCCAAAAATCAAGACATACTCCATGCATCATATGTAGTTTTCATATTAGATATGAGTAAGAGCGAATTGGATCCGAGTAGAATGGTGAAATACTTTGTCGATACTTCTTGTTAAACAAACTCATGCCAATTTAGACGTCCACATCTCCTGATAGTCGCATCCCTATCCAAATGAAACACTGGATATGCAAATAATTCCACTTCATAGCTATAACTGTACAACCATCCACTTTTTTTGAAAATAGTTGTAACAGTTTCCCAAAAATCTTTAAGAACATTCAATTGAGAATAAGTCGTCAAATTCTTGGAGGAAAAAGTCCCATCTTTCTTTAGTTCCCTTTAGTTCCGTTGTTTTTACCAGTGATAAAGAAATCTCCGCAAAAACATGACTCAGTTTTCTCTGGATCGTCCTGCAAAAAAAATTCATTTAAGAGAACATTCAGGGTCAAAAAGGCACATAAAGTCTTACTGCCACTTTTTCTAGAAATTGCAAGCGTGTTGGATGTTGTACCGTTGAGATTTACTGTGTTGTTTAGCGGCTAACTTACCACATAACGAGTGAACATTCCCACGGGACAATAAGGCTTCACACGAACAACAACTCTTCCCTGTGTACCTGGGGTTACTTCATTATATTTCTCATCGACAATCTGAGACGCAATAACATCAAGAAAAATGAGAGAGAGAAAGGGAGGGAGAGAAGGGGAAGGAGGGAAAGGGAGAGAGAGGGGGGGGGGGCAATCTAATCATTCAATAAATGTATTTTTAAGAACTTACCAGCATATCGATTCCGGTAAGAAGTTTCCCGACTGAATCGGGACGGGAATCATCCCCAGGTTCTCTTGGAAAAGTCAAGATATCCTGCATAAAGAAATACAGTTCACTAGTTACAATAATTGTTGATACTAAAATATATTCCAGCGCTAAGAATAAGAAATTCTGCTGATCCCAGCAGTATGCAGGACGCGTGTCATATGAACTTTGTAATAGACCTCGTTCACCATGGAGTCTCTGTGGTTCAGTGGTAGAGCATCGGAGCGCGGAATCCGAAGGTCTGAGGTTCTATTCCTCATGGGGAATCAGAATTTTTTCTTTGTCCCACGCTCGTGACAAGACGAAAAGACATCTTTTTCTAAAATTATTTTCATACTTATTCTAATTAAATCACTAGTACGAAGGGTGAATTTCGTCAGTTTTCTGTTTCCAACGTTTATAAAATCACGCACCCGTTGGCGATAATTACAATGTGTTCTAGGTTCTAAACCAAAAAGTAGAATAAGAAAATTTATCTAGCCCCTGAGTCTCTCTCTCGATCAGGAAACCCATGAACCTCTGTTTATTTACAAGACTCGTACGGTTTCCGTTTGACCATAGTAATTCCAGAGTTCTATCCCTGTTTCCTCTTTCCATCTGCGAATCATATGCTTGCTCGCTGGCTCTCCAGCCACAAAAAAGCGTTTTAATTTCGCGAAGCTAAGGCTCTTGAGATCCTCGTCGTCTAAGGCTTTCAAGTAAAGTGAATGGCTAAATTGTGCGTCAGTAATCGGATGCTTTTGAAGGGTCTCCAAAGCTTCACGGGCGGTCACAAATGCAACATAATGTACAAACGTGCCAGCGCCAACAGACCAGGTCGAGAAGAAACTGACGACGGAGAGAACTGGCCAACCCGTGGGGGAAGCAATCCAAATCAAGTCAGATTCCACGAAATGAGACCTGAAACAAAACGAAATAACAATTGAGGCCCGCTTCAGACTCGTAAACCTTCCAAACAAAACTATTAGCAAAAGGGATATTGCCTTGGAGATAACAGGACGTTCAGGTGTTCAAAGTGTTACGCACTGAAGGGATATTCGTGTTTTGAGAAGAACTTCATTTTCATCTCAGAATGCAAGTACCAAAAACAGTGTTCATGATAACCAGGGAATCTCCATGTCAGGCGTGGCAACTAAGATGCATATACTACGAATAATAAAATGCTCTTTAGAGTGAGTCGCAATTGCAAATTTATTGCTCCATCTGTAAATGTGTACGATTAAGGCTGTCGACTTATTAATTTAGTATGCCACAGGCATTCGACTGCTCAGGTATCGCTGTGATCCAAAAACTACCAATTGATTGGTGGCTTAAATACTTTTTAGAATTGCTTTATTCTTTGCGGTTGCACTTTTCCAATTATTTTTTCTTTTTACCATGGTTACAAAAAAGATGTAAAAACATTGGCCATCGACAAATCATGTTCATTTTCTTCTAGTTTAATTTATCAGTAACTCAACCAACCAAGCGACGTACCTCCTCATTCCACCACTACACAGGCCTGTGCTGGCTTGTGAATGTTCTACCATCTTAGAATTCCCCGTTGTTCCGCTTGTGTGGTATATAATTACAGGATCTGAGCTTTGAGACTTCACGGACTAATGAAAAAGGAAAGGCATGACAAAGCAGCTTATCTCTTGGGATTTCGCGTGGTTTACCTTAAAGTTTGGAGGTACCCATCGATACCCCATGGTAGAGAAGGGTGATTAGAATGAAATTTCTTGCCTGAGAGCAAAATTAAACGCCGGCCAGGCTCGAATTCGGACCTCTCGACCTGAGGTTCAATGCGTTATTTACGAGGTCAGGGCTTGTCCCTGCGCCCTTTTTAGGTGGGAAGTAGGGGAGACAAACCAGAACACTGTCGTGTGTTCCCCTGTTGAAAGAACATCCGCAGCTTACTTTGCCCCGCAGAGCTATATCAGTCAGAAGGGTACCGTACTGCTACTGAAGTCACTGGCCGAATGCAGGGATAAAATCATGTATGAATCATTCACATACGTGATAATCAGCACTTGCTTTTTGAAAGAGATCTTCAAATAAGAGCCAATCTCTTCGCCTGCAAAATAAAAAGGTCTTTTTTTTCAACGAGTTATCATTTTGATAGAAATTCATAAGGATATTTCTTGAAGTGAACTGAAAGATCTTTTAAAAACTTGAGGTTACCTTTCTTCATATTTCATTCTGTTGACCAAAATCCTGCTTCGTATATCGACTTCCGCAGAGCAAAAAACCTAGAACAGAGAAGAAGTAACAGATCAACGGTTAACGTTGCCACTTACGTGAAAAATTAGCGCTAGAAAACATACAAGATCCGTTAAAAAAACACAGTGCCAAAATGTTACAATACATCATGTGGAAAATATTACATATCTGATGCAGCGCAGTTTAGTGATACGTGAGGATAACGTTATATTGAGGCAAAGATTTAAAATACAAAAGCTATTTGTCGTGTGAGAAATGTTGTCGAATGATTCCCGAGGCGAAGTCGAACAGTGGAGAAGTCTGAAGTTAAAATACAACTTTTCTTGCGTTGAAATATTTCAGCTGGAGTGTGTGAGATTGGCACACTCAGAGAGGACGCGGTGTTCATGGATGTGTGTTCTATCACCATCGTGGACGACTCACTTAAATCTATTGTTCAGGACTATAACCCTAACGCCAAAAATATGTGTACTGATTCAACCGACTGCTGCTGTGTACATTGCCGACTGATTTGTATCCCAAAGGACCTTAGGTAAGAATTTGACATTCATTTGCTTCAACTGAAGTAGATTAGGGTTCGCTTTCTTCTTAACGGGAACCAAGTAAGCGTAGTTTGTGATTCTACTATTATATGATTACTAACGCTTCTCTTATCATTATTTTATTTTTACCTATATAATATAAAATATAATATCAAAGAGCTTTGACAGATGTCTAGCGATAATCGATGGAGTTTAATTCGGTTAAACTGGTATTAAAATTCAGTGAAGTTATAGTCGCACTATCGTCAACCAAAGCTCTATCAAATTATTAGTTTTAGTTCAAAGAAAGAAGCTAGTAGACTTTCAAGAGTTCTTGAAAATACATTAGTTAATTTTTAAATTATATTTATTCTCACCAGGAGGATATCTTTGTTAGATATCGATGAAGAAACCTCGAGAGCTACCGACAGCCATTTTGTTTTGCACCGAAAGGAAAGGGAGAACAGAAGCTCTGAAATTATATCTAAATGGCGTGAGTCACTTCACTGAAAAATAGTTTTCCAGTGGCTTCCCCCTTGGATGAATAAATATTTACCGACGATGGAACGAAAGAATAAAATTTAATGAATTAGGAATGACGCACCTCATCTACCACATCCAGTAGTTCGTTATTGACCTGATCACAAGGAGCTGCCACCACACACACTGGTTTTGATTTTAACATTCTTCGGTGAAGCTCTTTTGGACCAACATTTGTTGGCATTATTAAGAATACACTACCTGGAAATGAATATAAAATTCATTAACTTTGAACTGCATTACGTTTAAGCTCCAATTTGTTTGCGTTATAGTGTATAATCTAAAAAGTGTCACAAAAACAATCTTTGTCTATTTTGGTTATATATGCTGAACGTTTGAATGAGGCAGCAGTTACAGTGACATTTCACTGTTGAAGGATTGGTAATGTAAGAAAATACAATAAAGGGTGTTTTGATCAATCGGTTCCTTCAGCGATTTCTAAAAATTTGCAACTTTGATGTGTTTACAAGTGATGAAAAAATCGGGCGACTTGATTTTTATTTCGGGCGACATGACTCAGGCTACGAGCGAGATAACTTCCGGGCGACTTGACCGTAAACCACTAGGCTGAGTATCTCCTTTCAAAACTTCCCTCAATAAAACGCTGAAGATAACCCCTCCTCCTCTCGTTTTTCAATTTTGTGTCCCTGTTCCTCTTAAACCATTAATAGTAACGGGTCCACTTCAATGTACTTGTCTGTTCCTCTTAAACCATTAATAGTAACGGGTCCACTTCAATGTAAGTGTCTATCTTTGAAGAAAAAGCTCTATTCAGTACCTGTTCTCAAACAGGCCGCCTGTATCAGCCAATATTCTGGAATTGCTGGTAATATCACCATCACACGATCTCCTGGTTTGACGTCAGCCTCATTAGACAGAAGATTAGCAGCTCTCAAAACAAGAGAAAAATTATTCATTAATATCAGAGTGAAGCGAGTTTGGAATGTGTACGCATATAACCTTTTTGAAAACATAACAAGGAAGATGTAAAATTAAGTGATCCTCAGTCACATCTTGTTTCCATTTTGCAATATTAGCTTGATACATTCACTGACATTTATTTAAAGCAAAAAATATTTCAGTCATAAATATTTATTAAACATTATCCATTATCCAATTATTAAACATTATCCAAGTTTGAACTTGCCTTACAGTCCGTCGCTCCGTCATTAGTTTAAATTAAAATGCCTTAGTCATTCCGGCTCCTAATCAATTATGATGAATGAGACATAGCACTGAAGATTTTACGTTTTCTATTCAATGACAATTATAGATGCTGTCTCAACTCTTTTGAAAGTATTTACAGGTCTCTGCAAATTAAGACTATGGCTGCTCTTTGTAAATTGCATACAGAAGGATGTGTCTTACTTTTTAGAGTTCACAGCAACATCTCCAAAAGTCCACTTAACCTCGTTACCAGCACCATCAATCCACCACAGAGCTGGATGATCACTTTGTTTTTTGCCCTCCTATAAGAACATGAAAGATACCCGAATTCAGGCGCGTAATATGGGAAACTATCCGCTGTTTAAGAAATGAGCCTAAAACGGAACGTTGTTCGGACCTCAGAGAGAGGCCGAAATCGAACCTACAGAATCTAAAAACATATATACGTCTATATCCTCACAGTTTGGAGAAACTTTCTACGGCTGAACAGGAATCGTATAACACTCATAGTGACAAGAGAAGCAGATTCAAAATCAAATTACATATTATTTTCATCGCTACTATAATTATTATTAGTAGGTGTATAGTCATTATCACTATTGTCTTTATTTTTATTTCAATTATCATCAAAAAAATTTTTTTTCATTCGGTGTATTGACAGAGGGCCAAAGCTTTGTCCGTGAAGACGTACGAGACAGGTTATTTGAAACGAAACTCGTTTAAAAGAAACTAAACATGAATATTCTGTCAACTTATTTTGTTCAGAATGTTCTGCCTCTCTGACTGAAGGATAGAAACTTATGATTTTTTATCAACCGGGTTTTGTATGTGGTAATATAATGAGCAGACATCAGAAAAAAAGAAATGACAATGTCAATAATTTTAGTCTGTCACACGTGGTTCGACCAACATCATTTCGCTTTTCAGTTTTCAAATCTGTGCAATTTTTGTTTGCCTGTTTTTTTTACGTTGTTGTTTTTGCAACATTTGTAGATACCCATGAAGCGAAAAATAAATAATTTATCATCCATCAAGTTTCTATTATCATCCTACGTCTGGGACTTGAGGACATAACAAACCATAACAACAGGACTCTGCGCTTTCTCGAGCGTTCGTATGCACCACACAGAGTACCTTTAAATTGTGGGTTAGACGATTTCTTTCAATCTGAGAATGAATTTCGATTATTTCAAGAAGTGTAACAAGTTATTTGAATGCGACTTCCTCGTACACAAACGAATCTTTAGTTTATCAGATACCTTGATAACAACCCTTGAACTAAAAAAGCTTAGAGATAACGCCATCGACAAATGTACACTTTCATACATACTCTTGTAGATGGGTACACTAAAAAACCAGATTTCAACGTAGAAAGTTTTGTGAAAAACCGTTTATTACCTAGAATCATTGCAATAAGACTACGACAAACATTGGTTAAAATAAGAATTTAGTCAGTATTTACAGTTCTATGATAAACTGAGAAAAATAATTCTCTTTGAAGCTATTCAATGAGTGTCGACAAAATTATCTTCTCTATAAACATTTCTACTTACCTTTTCTTTTTGTGCCCACTCGTCTATAACGTCAGCAAAGTTGAAATAATCTGGAACACAAAAACCTTTTGTTCCTCTAATCCCCAGAAAATCCATCTCAACGTCAGCCTTGAATGCACTGTCTGTTTAAAAAATATTCAATGCAGCTGTTAACATTGGCAGTCGTGGTGGTGGTAGCGGAGCCACCAGTGCGCGCAGCGTAACCCCATAATGATAGGAAGTAATAATAACCCATCAAGCCGGAAAATTTTGGACCTGAGAACGTACTACCGACCGTAAAAGGTGCTACTTTTAGCATGCACGGCTAACTGCATTGCAGGCAATATCTCAGCCATTATGTAATTTAAGGGCGAGGGAGTAGGTAATGCGCAGCCATGATTGGATACCCCATTTATCAGTTTATAATTCGTCAACCATTTCTGTAACCTGCTTGGCCTTTTCTTTTGAATTAATTGAGTCACACCCTCAGAATTTCATCAGTAATTAATTATGGTAATTGAACTGAGTGGAGTGCAATTTGGGCTGAAATCATTTTTGTGATTTCAAAATCGAACGAAATCACAAGTATGATTTCAGATCAAAATTGCACAGCACAAGGTTCAATTACCACTTTATTACATCCATTTTGAAATTGCCTAAATACAGGACTTGGTCAATTCAAATATTTTATTGATGCAGTACTGAGCTAGTTTGAAATTAAATTCATCCATTTTGGGGGGGAAAAACAAGAGTTTTGGAAACAAAGCTTGCAAAATTTGCTACATGATACCCTTTGCCTTTCATTTTCCTACGATTAGATTGGTTACTTTATACAAGCCTTGAAATCTGATTGGTTGTTTTTTTTTCAGTGTAGCCTCCTCATTGGCTGGGAAAATGATGCGATTTAAAGCAAAAAATGGTGCAACTCGTGAATAAATCGCACCAATTAGAGCCAATCAGATTACAGGGACCACCAGTGATTTCAAAATGGGTGTAATAAAGAACCATAAATTCGTATGTCTAGCACAAGTGCAGCACTTTCCGTGCGAAACTATACTTAACTGACTCTCGATAAATTGGCCTGGCATACCTCGTTGACTATTTTATTATTTTGTTTCCCCAAAAGCCCGCCTTATGACTCTGGAAGTACTGAACTTGATATATTTGATACACAAGGCACCCTTCAAGGAGGAAGGTTGGAATAAAATTGCTTTTACGACCGTACATTGCACCCGGTTTACATATGTAGGTAATTGCTCAAAAAATACCTATTTTAGCTGTATTTAGAAGCATAGAAATGTAGGTAATATGCCTCTGCTTTATTTTATCGAGACGGGTTTCTTTTCATGTAACATATATCCATTCCTTTAATTTCCTTCCTAAACTGCCTGCAAATAATTGAATTTTACGTTTTAATTCAAGTGTGAGAAGATAAAACGGAAGTGTTAAAGAGTTCTCTTTTCCATATGCATTTCCTGAATCTTTAATTATATTGCCCTGGTTTTTTCACAAAGCCTCTTTTATGTCTTTGTGTGCTATCTAATGATTAAAATCTCAGTGCATAGATATGCTATATTTTAGTAGTATTTTAGCTATGTTTTTTTTTAATTCTATCTTTTAGTTTTTGGCATTTACTATTTTAAAATTCATAAATGGCATTCCCTTTTAATCCTTGTAAAGAGGTATCACACATTTCTTTAACTAAAATCTGAATCATGAAGTCAACTTAATTTCAATTACTTCGAAGCTTCATTCTACATTAGAACACTTTACTGGAATATAATGTTACATTTATATGCTATCTTTCTGTAATGATTAAATTATACTTAGGCTTTGAAACAAAAAAATGTGATAAGAATCTTATCTTATGAAACACTTACAATGGAAAAGCCTGTTTCTCCATTATAAGTGTTTTTAAAGCAATACTAATTTTCATGGGTAACGTTTTTCTTTGAAAGCGGAGATACAGAAGTTTTCAAAGCAACTAGAAATAAGATGTTTGCAAGTAATGAAAAGAAAATTGAAAGTGCACTTGATTCTTCTCAGATGTCAGCTGGTAAAAGATACGTACTAAAAATAGATGACCATAAGAAAAAGTACACATCGTCAAAAAAGTCACACCGAAGTGGTGATTGATTTGAGATATTCAGAATGATAAAAGCAGGAAAAACACTTTGAAGTTTTTTCCATTCACCAGCAAGTTAATTAGATTTTAGATTATACATTCAAACCGGGTGAGATTTAATTTATTTATATCATGCTTCATTATGGTTTGTTTACATGGAAAGGTAATTTTTATCATAGCTTCACAGATGTTTTCGTTGCCGTCGCAGTTATCATTCATAACGAAGTTTCATTTAACATAGAATATTTCAAGAACTTTCTTCCTTTCTGTTCAATACTAATTACTATATCCAAAGCACAATTGGAGGAAGCAGGTTCTTAAAAAAACCATAACTTTTGATTCAGGTAATCATTTGAATATGTGAGAAAAAAAAGGAGTGAACTTGACTGTAACAATTAGATGACTAATTTAGAAACTTGAGAACTTGGTAAATACACCTTGGCTTGCAATTCTAACGATTAAATTTTGCTGAGGAAATCAAAATGTTACAGTCATATGCTATGAGATAACTTCAAAAAAAGGCATTTGTGTTGGTAGAACTATGGTAAGTCCAGTACCATCTAATGAGAAAAATTAATGATTTCCTGTAAGCATGAATGTTTGGGGGAAGTTGTGGTGGTAACTGACCCTCATTTTGCTAAGATGCATAGGCTTTGATGATTCTAATGTGTATCTTTTAGCTTTCAAACTTTCAACTTTATATTAATTCCAACTGTTTTCCACATCCATTTCTCTGTATCTTAAGCCCTCAAAAGTTGAAGCAGGTGAGTCTATAATTTGACTTCCTTTGTTTGGAATGGTGATTATATAATTTTGTTGTGTAAGTAACCACATTGTAACATATAATATTATTATTTAGATTGGGTTAAATACTCAAGCTTTCAATAGTGCATAGTGTTTTTAACAATGCTCTCACTCAAACTAAACATTGATATAATGAATTGGTCACAAGATATGTGACCACGTAATGCGAAAAGCAAGAATATAAATGCCTTAGCTTTAAAGGTTAAAAAAATGAAATAAGAGAGAGTTGTGCAGACCATATCTAACTTTTTATCCTCCCCTGGATATTTACTCATAACACAGACACTACCAGTTTCATTCACTCTCACTTTCCACTGAACTTGCGGAAAGATGATAACCTCAGTATTTTTTAAATGAAGAAAGGAAAGCTTGCCCTCGTACCACAGATAGTTCTTTTGCGCATAAGCATATTTCTATTTTTAAAGTAATCTCTTAAGTTTAAAATTTATGGCAGACCCAGGGCTTTGGTTTGATGCCAATTCTTGATCATTATTTTCTTGTAAAACAGTGATTTTTCTCATTATCAGTACAAACCTGGTCTAATTTTTACAAGAAGGTTATTGTTCTAGGTAGGCTAACCTTATACACGACTTTCATAATGGCCGCGGTGCGCGAGACTGGTAATTAATTAAACATGAAACCGAGGTCAAAAAGGCCACTCCTAAGGACAACACTGTAAACAAAAAGTCAACTAAGGTTGAATAGGTGATCTGTTTTGACTCGATTCGGTCGAATTATTTACAAGAAGAGAAAATGCCGACTCATTGTTGTGTTCCAGAATGTACGAAGAAATACTACCGGATAGACGATGGGACAAAAGTGTCTTATTTTTAATTTCCGACTGTGAACCCGTTAAGAAGAAATGCCTCTACGCGATAAGAAGAGACGAGGGAAAGCACTTCAAGGTAACCGAAAATACAAAGATACGCTCCCAGCATTTCAGGAAAGGTTATATTAGAAATGTCTCGCGGTCAAAAATGAACTAAGAGATGGAGGTGTCCCTTCTGTGTTTTTATGGATTCGAACATCGCCACGCAAAGGAAAGGAGCCGGCGGAAAGAAACTTGGAACTGACAGCTTCGAAAAGTGCATCACAAAAATTGTCTTCCCCAGCTGTTGTTCTTGAAAAATTATCAAATGAATCGTCAAACGAATTATCAAACGAAATGGTCCCAGATCTACCAGATTGTAGCTTAAAAGTCGAAGACGAAACACAAACTGATTTTACCGACCAGGAGGCCTACTTGAGAGAAATTATTGACAACAATAACAAGAAGATTCATAAACTCGAACAGGAAATTGAGGAACTTAAGCGCCAACTTCAAGATACCCAGCGGCAACGTGATGCTCTTAATAAAAGATTGTTTAACTTTAAAAACTGTAAGTCAAAAGATTCCAATGCTGCTTTTTATACTGGCTTTCAAAGCTGGGACACTTTAATGGCTGTTTTTGAGTATCTTTATCATTTCCTACTGGCGGTCAAAAACTGACAACATCACTGAGTCTGATAACAGTGAGGGCAGACTACTAACAAAAAAGGGAAGAGCTAGATCTTTAAGGCCCCATGATTAATTTTTTAATAGTCATGTGTAGACTAAGGCAAGGATTCCCAGAGGACCATCTAGCTCAATTATTTAATGTATAAGCATTCACAGTAAGTAGAATATTTTTCACATGGGTCAATTTTATGTTCTTTAAGTTTGGACAAATAAGCATTTGGCCCAGCAGAAAAGTAATTGATACGATACCCGAATCTTTTAAGGGAAGGTACAAATCTACTAGAGTCATAATTGACTGTACTGAGGTTATATGTCAAATGCCAAGCAGCTTGCAGTTGAATTGAGAACTTTTCAGTGCTTACAAAAATCACACAACTTTGAAAGGTTTGGTTGGTAAGTCAACTGTATGCAGGTTCTATCTACGATCAGGAAATTGTGAGATGGAGTGGATTCTTAAATCTACCATTTGATGACAAAGACTCCATTACGGCAGATAAGGGATTCATAGTTTAGGATTTGTTGCCTTTGGGAGTCAGTTTAAATTTTCCATCCTTTCTTGGAGCATCTTCTCAGATAGCTTTAGAAGATGTGGTAAATTGCAAGTTTACGGATACATGTTGAACCTGCCTTTAACAAGATTAAGAATTTTCACATCTGGGACAGAGTTGTTCCACTACATCAAATGGAAATTGTAAAGCAGATGTGGGCAGTGTGTGCATTCTGTTGTAATGCACAACCTAACATAATATTAGTGTGAATATCACATTCACGTGAGGCATGAATGAATTACTTAACCCATAAATTGCCTACAAATCTCTTCTCTCCCTAGATTGTAAGGGGCTACAAATTGGGCGTTAACATAAAGACAACATTTTCCCCTCTGTTCTGACTATTTATTGTAAGGTTTACATCATAATTGAGCGACTTCTTTTCTGTCTGTAAAGACCATGTTGCCTATGTTGTGTTTAAATTATCTTTAGTGCAAAATGTTTAAACCAGTTTAGTTTAATTTTCCTTTGTATTCTTTAGCATACTTTGAAACAAAGGAGATCAAAAATCAAACTGGTTGGAAAAATTTCAACCCACAACAAATTAAAGCTACAAAACAGTAAGAATTTATTCATCTAAGGTATTAATTCCCAGTCAACAAGTAAATTCACGACAATTAAGAATATTTGAATGTAGAAACATGGTATTACCAATTCCGTTGAAAAAAACAGAGATGTCATAAAATAGCTTTTGCAGGAAAACTGTAGATGACAGGGTCAAGCAGATGTAGCTGTTCACAAGACTTCACAATCACTTTTGTTATTTGCCAGACAATTTCAATTGAAAAGCTTTGCTTAAGCAAACTTAATAAAATGTTCAAAGTAATAAGCAGCTTCTGCCCTTGTTCGGCCTAGAAACCAAGTTTCGTATGCAGTTATGCACTCACTTCACCGCGTCTCCACAACATTTAAGCCAAAATTTAATCTCTGAGATTTTTAACTCCTCAGGTTTTCTTCCAAGAAGAGAAGCGCCAGGTATATCGTTTTCCGTAAGAAATGTCGGATTTTGAAACATTCGAAGTACTCGCCATAGCAAACGAAGAGGGACGCGACGCGATAGTTTGGCCTTTCTGACCTCGTTTTCATGCAACTCGATCCAGGACTCTCGCGATGTCCGCCATTATGAAAGTCGT